AGTAACTTTATCTAGTATGACCAAGCAGTGTTTGATGAACTACATTGTCAAGCATTGTCCCATAGGCATCGAGGTGTTTGTATATTGAAATTGGCTTGGAGTGTTATTCTCGGACTGCCTCAAGCTTGCTTGCCTTCAGTTTTAAAGCATAGGTTAAGGTCTTCTAATGCTAAAATCGCCTTTCTTTTGCCTTACTGAAGGTCCCAGTAGTGCTCACAACATTGTACAGTTAGTCTGTTGTGGTATATTCTTAAAACTCTGCTTAAAATCATCCTACAGAGGATCAGAAGATAACTCTTACCCAAAATCCTTACTGATTGCATATGTGAGGAGTTTGAGTTGTGGTACTCAGATCAAGTCTAGAAGCTTGCATCCGTGTCTGATCCTCGTTGGACATTCAGTCGGTGTAAGGGGTGTAAGTTTTAGTCGTCAGTGTCTAGGACTCACAAGCATATAAGGCAGTTGACCAGACAAATGTTTTTGTATTGCTTAATTCTATCTCTAGGGGCTGGTTTCAAACAATCCATGTGTAGAATAATTTATTCACTTGTAAAGGATCTAGATCAACATTCAATGTGGGTTTTATTCAACCTGCAAACAGTAATTCAAAATACAGAAGCAGCAACAAAACAAAATATTCCATAATAACTAAATCATATTAAATCTATTGGAGAAATAATAACCTTGTATTTTCTAACAATGGACCAAAACACTTACATCATGGCACCTTGCCCCTGAAAGATGGTTTTAATCAATCTCAATCTCAATCAAATTCAGGCTCAGGTCTCAAATCTGTCAGGTCATCAGGCTGTATAAAAGGAACACAATGCATTCATGGAGTAATGTCACTTCCAGGTTTAATCCCAATTGGTCTAGAATTCAGTAAATTGGCAACCTCAAAGAATATTGTCTGAAGTTCATTGAATGTTAGTATACTTGCACCAACTGATACACTTAATGCTCTAACTTTTACTTTAACAACACTCAACTTTTGATTAATTTCCATGTCACATAGATTTGCTAAAAGTGACTAAATCTTTACTCTTTCAAAGTCTAATTCCTCAATATAATGTACATGCACTTCTCTTTCTGATTCAAAGTCTGGGCCTAAGCTTGAAATCAACTTGCTATTGATTAGTTCTAAGTCTTGAAATATATCATGAATTTCTGACATTAATTTCTTTAACACCACTACTGAATAATTCTCCAAAATACTAGCATTGAATATCTTACTCTTGCGATGAAATTTCCCTTTCAGAATCGCACGTTCCTTTTTGATTTCCTCCATTGTTTTTGTTGGGATGTATCAGGCAATTGTAATTCTCTACAAAGTTTCCCCTTCAGATGCACAGGTTACCTCCTCTGGTTTCACTGCTCTGTGCCGATGTGGATGGGGATGGTGATGGTGATGCCTGTGATGCCGATAGGGATAATGATGGTGTTGACGACCCTATTGACAGCTGTGTACTTATATATCATATGCTTATAGCAATTTAACCAACAAATTCAAAACATCTATTGTACTAATTCACAGACTTAAACTATATCAAACCTTTCAAATTTATCAATAATACAATCACTAATAAAATATATTCATACAATATTCCTACCTGATATTTACACATCAAATTTGGTCAACTTAACCCCTTGGTGCCGGGTCACGCCGATAGGCGTGTAAACAAAGCGCTCGAAAACTGGCGTGCAGCCAAACGAGCCGGCGGCGCGCCAAAGCACGGCGAGCCAGTGATTCAGGTTGACGTCCCGTACTCGCGCACTCAAAGTCGGCGCGTCACCTTTGTTTGCTAGAGCGTAGAGTTTTTTTTTCCTTTTGTACACCCGGCGCCATTGGGTTAAAATATCTCTTTTGAGGAGCATTCACATGGCCAGTCATTTTCAGCATGTAAACAATGCTTCCAAATAACAAAATAAATTCCCTATGCACAAGGTTTTCAAAATCCATACAACATATTATCAGAACTTAAATTGTACAAAATTTCATTTTTATTTCAGTATCACCAAATTACACAAATTAAAACTTGTTTCTTATACAATATCACAACTTAAATTCCAATGTTCTATTAATAATGCATATAATTCAATATTATTTTCCATAATAATACAGTTTTAATGAGTCTGATTCCTATTTGGGGAATATATCTTTTGCTATTCCAATTTTGCCTCTGATTTCCATCTTGCATTGAGCATCTGAGGTGCCAAGAGCTCCTAAATAATGGAAGGAGACCTGCCAGATTTCTACTTCTTGTTTCAAAGGACAAGTTTGTGGGACCTCTGACTTTAAAATTACAGTTCATTTTGTTTTCTTGGATCAAAAAGTTTCAGGGGTCATTTGCAGATGTGGTCATGAGAATGAAGATTGTTGATCTTACAACCATTGATAATGAATCCCTCCTGGTGATCTTCAATCTCCAGCAGGGTAACCAGACCTGGCCGTTTGAGGCGGGCAATCGCCCGCGCGCACCTCCACGCTCGCCTCGGGTTAGCGAGGCGAGCTATTCATCACTCGCCTCAATGTCAGTTCGCACATTAACCGCCCGCCTTGGTTTTCCTTTCATTTCTCGACACCTCTTGAATTAAAACTAAAATATTGACAGGAACTTAATCCCTTATGTTCTGACTTCAAAATAATATTAATTACCTTGAACTTGAACTTGAACATCAAAATGCCAGTTTTCGAATGACTTTTAGTTTGTACTAATGTTATAAAATTACGCTATTTGATTTAAGTTTGGTTCTGTTCAAACCTTGTTTGTGAGAATGTGGTTGATTTGCGACTATATGAAACTATCGTTTTATTTCTGTTGGAGAATTGTCATCTTGTTCTGTAAACTTAGCTGTTTAAATACCAATGTTGCATTTGTTGTTTATTCGTACACTTTTATGGACGATTTTCAATAGATTGAAAATCGCCCGCCTGACTTTAACGAGGAGAGCGATGCACCGCTTGCCTGCTAAAATGCTCACGGCCAGGCCTGGGTAACTTCAGAATATAAATTAAAGAGGTCAGGTGACATCGCACAGTCTTCTCAGACACCACTTTATGGGGAACTATTGAGTTGTTCCATCAGATAGGCTGACTTGAGGAAGTTGATCTTGGTAGACCGACTGAATTAGTCTCATATCATTGTCATCTATCCAGATATTGATGAGGATTTTGAACGGTTCTAAGTACTTGACCTTATCAAAAGCTTTTTGATAGTCAATGAAAACCAGGTAGTTTTTTTGTTGGTGTTGGAAAGCATTACAAAGGTAGCATTCCTTTTACCTTTATCCTTCATAAACCCAAAACAGGTCTGGTATTTCGGGTAGGAGTTGTCTTCTGATCCTCTGTAGGATGTTTTTCTGCAGAGTTTTAACCCTTTACTGACGGATCACACACTGAGATGTCACAAGAAACCACTCGATCTGTGGAGTGCAGCTGTACACCACAGTGACGCACCAAAGTGCTACAAACCAGGGGTTCGGCTTAATGTAGTGAACTCCTGCACTCAAAGTCGGCTCGTAGCCATTAATTTCCAGAGCATAGAGTTCTATTTTAATTTTCTTCACCCATCAGTAAGGGGTTTTAGAATATGTGGCATTAGAATTGTACAATGTTGTGAGCACTCAAGTGTTCCTGGGACCTATAGTAGGACAAAGAATGCTGATTTCAGCATATCTTTAGGTAATCTGCCCATTTCATGGACAGATCAATGACACACTGATGAAGTTGAATGAATTAGTTGAATGGGATCAAAACCCATATGGAAGCGAGGCAGGTGGTACAGAATATCATAAAAAAAACAGTAAGCTTGTTCATTTTTATATCAGGAATTTCTTTGCCTTGAATCAAAACAGAGCAGAAGTTAGTAATGGAAACAAAATAAAACTATACAAAAGTAACTGGTTAGAATAGCATGTGCATGCCAACAACATTTGCAGGAAAAGATGTGGCAGTGAGAATGTGGGTGATTGTGAGGGTGAGTGTGTTCCTAGTGATTACCTTTGCCCTTGTGAAATTGCATGCTCAGTTGAAGGCATCACACATTTCTTATTTTCATGATAAGAATCTCCAGGAACAAGAACAACAAAATCATAAATTTGCATATTATTCAAAGGTTGTTGATAATGATAAAAATATAGCATATTGTTTGTTACTCTGTATTATTAAGATATTGAGGCAAGACCAGTTTCAGTTCAATATACATAATTATTTTCATAACATAGTGCAGGGTTCTTCATACTTTTTTGATCACAACCTAGTATGTCCATTCCGTCATACCTTTTTCTCAACCTGATACCAGTTTGTGTGTGTGTGTGTGTGTGTGTGTGTGTGTGTGTGTGTGTGTGTGTGTGTGTGTGTGTGTGTGTGTGTGCATGTGCGTGTGCGTGTGTGCATGTGTGTGTGTGTGTGTGTGTGCATACATACATATGCATATGCACGCACATGCATACATACATATGCATATGCACGCACACACACACACACACACACACACACACACACACACACACACACACACAAATGTATTATTATTGTCATTATTATGTGGTGACCCACTGAATATGACCTTGTGACCTAGTACTGGGTCATAACCCATACTTTGAAGAACCCTTGGTAGAAAGAGTAGAATTGTAGATAGTTATGCTTGCCATTATTTTGCATGAGATTCTTTGTATGTATGTTTGTATATTCTGTATACACATGTTGTAATACATGCCTAATTATGAATTCCTTTTTTGAAATAGGTAAAACGACAGGGACCATATCGGGCCAAGCGTCCAAAGATGGCACTGCTCAAGGAAGTGTGCGGACGCAGCCATCCAGTGTTGTGGGTATTCCCATGCACCAGTGCTCCCTTCAGTAGTGAACCTTCATATAGCCTGACTGTTTAAGTTAAACATCATCTTCAGAGTGAATAATCTGGAAAACAGTCCCATTTTATATCATCATCATCAATTCTTCAAGTCACAAGTTCACTCTCTCCTGACAGCCATTAGATATGTAGCATATGGTAGCACTGGTGATGTCAGTCTGGGTAACCTGCACAGCCACTGAGCTCAAGGGTACAATCAATCAACACAGTGCCTGACACTTTAACTCTTTCCATAACATTATGTTGGGCTCATGAAGACCTCTTGGTGCCCAAAGTAGCAATGGATCTGGTTTGTGATTTAAGAATAAGTCTCAATACATTTCTAAGCTGATTAGAGATTTTATTTACAGTTGATTGTCTTGTTCTATTTATAAGGATATCCCCAAGGAGATATTCTTTGTAATGTCACAGCTCCTTGGATTTGAAGTAGTGATATATATTGGGAAATATCAGTGATGTCAAATACATTACCTTAACATTTTCAATATATTCATGTTATTGAGGTAGTAAACTTTTTAAAGAATCAAGAAGTAGGACAAATTTAGCATGAAAAAATTATCTTTGTTTCTTTTTTAAGAGAGAAAACATATCTAACATGGTAAGAGGACTTAGGTGGACCATTGTTGTGAATGTAAATATGTATACTACAGAAAATAAACCTTTTCCTTACTTTTATAGTCAAACATCTATGAAAGAGATCTAATCTGTTTGGAATAAGAATATGCAAATCTTTTATAAATGATATCTCTCCACAGTAAACACCCACTCATTCATACATAGCTGTATTTATATTTTGATTCATCATTTTTGAATACTCATTTTTATTCAGTAATTCTTGCAGTGCATTAATACTTCATTACATGTTTTCTTAAAACAAAAAGTGGTATGCAGATAAGGATATGTAAATCATTTGAGAGTTCACATAAACACCCACACATTTTCATACTTTTATTGTAAGAAATATGCACATTTATATATGATTTATGTAAATGCAGTTGTGAAGAGTTATATATATATATATATATATATATATATATATATATATATATATATATATATATATATATATATATATATATATTATAATGTCCTTTTTTCCACTGTTCCTTTCTCTGCTTTTTCCAAACGGATATAATTTACCTGAAAATCATTTTGGATATTAGATGATAGATTTTTTAGTTCAAATCTTGTCTGAATTAAATGGTGTTGTGGCGGATGTTCAGGAATCAGATGTGTGAGTTGATTATTACCATGTACTTTTCTCATGAATCAGTGATCACCATTAGTTTTTAAGCTGCCGTTTGTTTTTTGTAACTATTGATTTTGTTCAAATTATATTTTTATGTTCTGTTACAAAAAGTGCTAAACAGAGTAAATATTTATTATGTTGATAAACAATAACATATAGACTAAATACTTATTACATATATCTGTCTACCTGACTGCCTGTCTGTCTATGTGTGTCTGTTTGTGTGTGTGTGCTTGCTGGTATGGGTGTATAGGGTTTTGTGAATTGTGTGTGTGTGTGTGTGTGTGTGTGTGTGTGTGTGTGTGTGTGTGTGTGTGTGTGTGTGTGTGTGTGTGTGTGTGTGTGTGTGTGTGTGTGTGTGTGTGTGTGTGTGTGTGTGTGTGTGTGTGTGTGTGTGTGTGTGTGTGTGTGTGTCCGTGCATGCGTGCATGCGTGCGTGTAATATATATGTGTAGTTATATCCATCGATGCATATGAGTGTGTTACTATATTTATGTGAGCATGGCTTTCTGAGACTGTGTGTATGTGTGAGTGAGTAAATGTGTATGTGGATAGTAGATGTATATGGATGTACATGTGTTGGCATGTTTGTATTCATTGATCTGTAAGGGTTGCACTTTTGTGTGTATATGTGTAGTATATGTTAGGATAGGAGGCACATGGGCACAGGGTGATTGCATATGTTTGTGTGTGTGCTACATGTTTTGCATATATGTATGTGCCAGCATTTATGCACCATGTAGTACATTATTAACATGAGCATTATTTGCATGTAATAGTAGACCCCACTCAGTGTGTTGTGATACTTTTTCAAATGTTAATGCTTCACTTTGTTCTTAATTGAATCTTGACAGTTCAATTTGCTGCTGTGCATAAGTAACAACTTTCAGAATAGCATAAATCTTGTTACTGTCGGGCATGTTGAATTTGACATTTCACAAGCAAATACAGAAGCACAGACAGCAAACTGCATTGTAATTCTACCAAATATGCTCTATGATTGTGATGTAATGAAATAAGGCGCATGCAAATGTGAAAGTATAGCAGGTGAATAAAATCATAAACAGTGAAAATCAATTAATTTCACTTTTTAATGCAATTTAAAAAATATATCTATAGGTCTGAATGGATGGCAAATGTTATCTAATAATAAATGGTTACCTTTACAGATCAGCAGATTAATAAATATTTAATTGTTCTTTTTGATGTTGCATTATTTATCCTTTTAGTATTTAAAGTTATTCTTTGATTTGTGTGATGAGTTATTTATATTACATGTTAACCCATTGGATCTGCCCACTCTTGGCCCAAATCCAGGCATTAGGCTTACTTGAGTGGTGACACTCCCAGGGTGTGTGGCGTGTAGGCCTGGCCCACACAAACGTTAGTGTACAGTGTTTAGTGTAGACTCCTTGCCTACCCTTTACAATGTTATTATCGCTTTTTCTGCTTTAGCATTTCTTGTTTTCTTGCCATTTTCCAAGGACTATATTTGTCATTTGATATGTTGTATCTAGATTATGATAGACAATTTTCCTTGCACAAACTCCATATCATCTCATTAAGTAATTATAAGTCTGTGCAACAATAATAATAATATATATATTTTTTTTTATTATATTATACTTGGCATGTTGGGCAAGAATCGGATCCTTCTGTTGGCTCCAAGGAGCCAACAGAATTCCAGTCATGGCTCACAGTTGGTACTGGCCTCAGCCAAAGTTTTCATTTCACCAGGATCTAAGAGGTTAAGCTGAATTTTTTAGAAACTACAATGAACTGCAAAACTTACTGTTTCTACTCTAGCCAAAACAGCTGTATGAAAAGAAGTGGAGAGAACATGTGTGTCCGTGTGTGCACATGTGCATGCATGCATGCAGATATGTGTGTATATATATGTGTCTTTATATATATGTATATATATATATATATATATATATATGTATATATATATATATATATATATATATATATATATATATATATATATATATATATATAAAATATATATATAATTATATATATATGTTTGATATGAAATATATGTATTCAATATATATATGTATAGTATATATAATATATATATCTATATATATACATATATATCTATATATACATGTATATATATTATATATATGTCTATATCTATAACTATATATATATATATATATATATATATATATATATATATATATATATATATATATATATATGTTTTTGTTTTTTTTTTAACAACCATTCATTCCACTGCAGGACGTAAGCCTCTCTCAATTCATTATTGAGAGGTTATTTGGCAGTGCCACCCTTGCCTCATTGGATGCCTTTCCCAATTAACAGCGGTTTGACGCATTAACACCTGTGCCACAGTGGCAACTTTCCCTAAGACACCTGCGTTTGACTTCTCAAGGCGATATGTCGTTTTTTTTTTTTTCTTTAGTCGGAGCGCAGATATTTTTACGACTGCTGCAACGGGGATTTTAATTCGGGACCACGAGGGTCGTAGTCCAGTGGTTAGAGCACTGGACTATCTCGGTAGTCTCGTGTGTGTTTGTGTGTGTGTGTGTGTGTGTGTGTGTTTTTACATATACACACATAGGAGCATAAACAATATAGGTCAAATTTGCTATTTTGTGCCTAGTGGTTTTCCTGCCATTTTATCAACATTGTAGTGTTTTACAATTCGTCGTGGTTTCTAGTTAAATTCAGCCCAACCCTTTGGTGATGTGACCAACCCATCATGAAAGAGATTGGTTTAGCATGTACTCCGGTTCATACCTATAGTGACCTAGGTTCAAGTCCTAGTTAGGGAGGGATGTTATATACCTATATCAATGCGGTATTGCATTATTCCATCTTTCAGTGCACCGGTTTCGAATTTCTGAATCAATATCCACCGAGTGCCCACGGGGAGCATATAAAACCTCGCTATCATTACATATGCATGAGTAGATAGGTAATGTCTATGAAGCTAGTTAGATCCTAGTTGCACACTTCTTTTGGGGGTCTTGTGCGGTTTAGTACTGGTCCTCGGGTTCATATGTGGCGTGACCTAGGGATTATATATATATATTATATATATATTATATATATATATATATGTATATATATATATATATATGTATTATATATATATTATATATATATATTATATATATATATATATATATTATCTATATATTATATATATATATATATATATATATATATATATATATATATATATATATATATAATATATATAGATTATATAGATTATATATATATATATATATATATATATATATATATATATTTAAATATATATTATATATATATATATATATATATATATATATATATATATATATATATATATATATATATATGTATATATGTATATATGTATATATGTATATATGTATATATGTATATATGTATATATATATATATATATATATATATATATATATATATATATATATATATATATATATATATATATATAAAATCGTACACAAATTAACACGTGAAAACAGGGCCGGCTCTTTCCATTCTGGTACCCTAGAGTTTGAGACGAGATTTGGATTGATGGCCTATGTCAACACATTAATCCACGACCATATGATAGTGTTGCTTTAATTGCAGTATCCCCTTAGGCAGAAAGAGAGACATAACTGTATATTCCTATCATGTCTTGTGTTTTATTGGGTATCAATACGAAGTGCTTTGGGGCATCGTAGTCATTGCCCATAAACATATGTATATATATTTTTTTATTAATATGCTATGAGAGCCCATCGTTGTCTTTGTGCCTTTCCCACGGGCAGAACTAAATTTATCATATAAGTGATTTTGTAGTTTTTTCTTCTGGTATTATCATAACTATGTAGTGAATACT